TAGTATGACTTGGTAGCCTCGTCTTTTCACCGTTTTTGAAAATAATGCTTAGCTCTGTTCGAATTTATCTCAGCAATAATTTAGCTTATTTTTGTGTTAAACCGACCAAATGCACGCTTGTTTTTAATGTTCTTATAAAAAATGACGTCATAAATTACGTAGGAGTGATGACGTCATTACACGTTCGAGAAAGCGATCCATTTCACGAATTAATCTTATGTTTGAACGTAAAACCCAAGAAAAAAGATGAAAAACCAACAGTTTCTGCTGTTTTAATATGTTCGAGGATAGAGTTCCACGAGAGAATTGGGGCGCTGACGAGGAAAAAACACGACCACTATGATGACTTGACAACGAACAACAGTGAGGGACTTGAAGATCTTAGAGACGGGCAATTATAGTAATTATGATAATTGAGGAGGGAGTTGCGTTAATCCCCCAATGTCGAGCAAGCACTTCATCTACAAAAAAATTATCGCTGAACCTCTCATTTCAGTAAAAAAATATCGAGCAAACACAAAAAAAGATGGCGTGCAGGGTTGTTTTCAAAAAATTGATATCGTGGAACAAAACTTTTGATTCCTGCAACCAACCCCTCAATAGGCCCTTTGAAGCTCAGCAACCACGTGCTGATTAAATCACTGAGAGCAAATGAATGAACATTTTGATTCCCATGGGTGAAATATACTGGACTGCAAACAAACTTTCTACAACCTGTTTCGAGAGATCGTAGTAAAACTGCATTTCGTTACACACTGGTTACACATYGTTTCATTCAGTTCTTTACAAGTAGCTAAAAAGAATTACCAATTTAAAATAAGAATAAAAAATTTTGCCAACCAGTACAGACACGTGACGGTTAACACTCAAGGCAAACAACTAAGAAAACGAGAAAAACAAAGCAAAACTGAAGACATAAAAAAACGGCAAACAAACAGAAAAATAAGGTTAAGAAAAATCTCTAAGATTAACCAGTCATTATTGTTCTTTAAAAGTGACGTCACTTGTGACGTCACTTGTGAAGTCATTTTTGATCTTTAAAAGCAGGCTCCCATTCAAAATCGGGTCATTTTTAGATTAGTCTTACAGCAGTATCAGGATCGTTATAAGGGGATTAAAGTCATGGAGAACTCAACTCGTCAGCAATTGCACAAGAAACTAAGTCTCGAATCGTTCTCCTCTTTAACAAATAGTTCGTCACCCACTAAACCAAAATATGACGAGTTGACTAGAAACATTTTTATCAAAGATGATCCTTCTTTCGACTGTTCGACTAAGGACTTTTCAAAGCCGTTGAGTCAGTTGCCATCTAAAACAATTCGAGATGAGCAGCAAATGACAATAAGAAAAGCCACTAAGGGATTGTCAACTGCTGAAGAAATACTGCCTAAGGAAGAAAAGACTGACTTGAACGCCTCCAAAACACCAAAACTCAAGCTGACACGCAGSCAAGCATTTAGAAGAACAAAAAGAAATGATATCGGGGAAAAGTCCAAAACTTTGGGAGTTAGTCAAGTTTCGTTGGATGGAAATCACAATGAGTTGCATAACAAGATGTCACTGAAGATACCGATGGAAGAAGACGATGAAGCATCTTCCCCAGAAGAAAAATACGAATCGCATACCCTATCAAACATTGATGACACCAAACACAATGACCAGAATGCGACAGAGGTGGTTGCAGGCAGGGTTGATACTCCGTTTTTTTCATACCAAGCCCCACCGGTTGTCCCACCAACGCGACAGGATTTTTCATTTGAAGCTAAACAAGGAGAAGTATTTACCTCAGAAAATGTAGACTGTTTTTATCATGAGAAACAAGAAGAACAAGAAGAAAGCGACGAGGAGGAAGAAGAAGATGATAATGATGAAGAAATGGAGTTGGAAGACATACCAAATGAAGTTCACTCCCCCAATGAACTACAACACACTGCTGTAAGAATGTGTCGTCCTTATCGCAAAGTCAATTTCATCGTTGTCCAGGGAACAGACAACGATTCTTTGGGGTTTGTTGAAGGCATTGCAAGCAGAAATGTCACAGAGAAAAAGCATTCTACTGATTCAACGTATTCAAGTCTTGAAGAGGACATTCTGTTTCACGAGTATCTCAGAAAGCGTCCCTCCAGAAGACTAGCTGTTTGTGAAGAAATCGAAAAATACCAAATTGAAGCTAAAATCAATGGTATAAAAATGACGACGTTTGACTTACGATGTGATCTTATGGAAAAAAATAGAAATGATCAGTCGTAAGGAACACTGGAAACTTAAGTAAGACAGTAGAATATATTAAGAAAGCGATAAAAGTTTGTGAAAAAATAAAGCTCACTAATCAATGGCATTTATAGAAAGAAACAGAAATAATCAGTTTGAATGAAGAATATAAAAATAAAGCAACAGAAAAAATATTACAGAAGAAAGTGTTGTAAGGTTGTAAAAAATTGAAGTTAACTTAAAATGAATTTTTTTATTCCAATCTGTCTTTTCTAGGGCACTTGGCCAACTAAAGTTTGTAAGAATAAACTCTATTTTCTATATATATTTTTAACACTGTCTTTAGAATTCCGATTGTAGAAAATAAAAATTCACTTTATTTCAAAATCTGTGCTATAATTTCTCCTATGCTTTAGATTTCTAATTCATTACTGATTCTATCAATGAATTACTGCCCCATCGGATTTGCAAGCCGCATTTTATTAAAGTGCACTATTGTCATTACTGTGCGACTACACCAACCAGCCAATCACGATTGAGTATTCAAACAATAAAATCTATACAAATTTTCACATTTTCCTCTTTAAAATCGCGTATTTATACGTGTGTGTGGGTATGATGAGGAGTGAACAAGAAACAATTTAAAATCCAAAACTCACTAATTCATCTGTTATGCAGCGTTAAAAATGTAATTTGTGAATTATTTGATTTAAATTTTGTTTGGGTGGGGTTGATGTAGTCGCACTGTAAGTGATTCAATTAACTTAATTCCATAACTACCAGAATGCTTGGAGAAGACTGTTCGTCTTCAGTATTATTAAAAGTCAAAAAAATGGTACCGAAAGCAAATTTGGTTTAAGAGAGAATTATTTTCGTATTCAAGCAGTGAGCGCCAAAAACTATTTTCTTGAAGAAAGGCTGTTGTACAAGGCTAAAATCTTGTTATTCAGAAAGTTTAACTTGTTTGGAAGTGGAGRTGACCGATGAAAGTGGAATCAAAGTGTTAACCCAAAGTAAAAAATTTATTCGAAAATGAGGTTTAGGCCTACATTTGCTTAATATTTCCCATATATTTTCTATACAAAAGCCTGACAAAGCAACATTCTAACGCAAATGCAACAAAACATCTTTGTACAATTGAAAATACCGCTTCAAACAGGCATTTTACCATAGTACATCAGTTTCTAACTGTTTAAAAAGGGTTTTGAGTGTTAACCCAAAACGAAAATTGGGATCAAAACTCATACGAAAGTCTAGTTTTTGGCGCTTTTTGCCATTATTGCTCATTATTGAAAAAAATTTCCTCTTAAACTATATTAATGCTCCGTGATTGGCAGGCGGCTAATTATTACTGACGTAACTAACCATGGTGCGGTCGCGTCTTTGTTGTTGTTACCTACAGCCGCCAAGAATGAAACGGCCTTTACGGGAATAAATTCAAATTGGTTATTCTAAACCTTTTGACCTTTTGAGTTAAACAACAATTTAGCAGCAAAGAAATACAGAAAAAATAAGTAAGCAAGTATAACGTTTATTTGACTCAAATAATCGAGGAGAAAAGCTAGGTGTCCTTGGCTCCCTGTTGGCTAGTGGTAATAAAATGATCGATGCCACCAAACCGGCCTATTAAATTGATTTTGCAAGACCGTAAAAATAATCTTCAAATTCTATTAGTGGACTCTATATTCTTGATATACAAACGTTTTGACTTGCCTGCAGATTTCCTTTTTTATATACAGGCAGTATTCAGGTATTTCCTCCCGGTTTTGGGARACCGATAGTAACAGGTAATAAAGACAAAAGTCATCGCATCTTTGTCCTAAGAAATGTCTAAGCAAAAAATATCTTATCCAACGTGGCACTGATTCATTTACATAAAGTTTACGCTATTTCTTCCACCGCAAAGTCCTAGACACTAGCTAGATTCTAATCCTATCTGTAAGTTAGCCATGCCGTGATTTAGATAACCTACAGTCAACGACATTACAACATAGAGCGTAGAGCGTTTTTTGCGTAGGGGAAAAAATGGATAACCTGGTCAAACAAAAAAAAACAAACAAACTCTACTCACATGTTATGCCGAATCTGGAAAAGGAAAGTCCAGATTCGAGGTGCAAATTACCGCTGTGTTCTTTGATTACCAACTCATTTACTCAGGGTTAGCCTCGAATCAGTGTCTAAATATTCACAAATACCAACGGTAAAGTATACTACGCAAAGCTTCAACGATGCAAACACTTTGAAACTCGACGGACCTTGACTTGAACACGTGAATATTCCACACAGAATCGTGGCTAACGTAAAACCCGAGCAACAGAAAACAGGAAACTGGAGTGTTGAACCCAAAGACCCCAAAGTTGATAAACGTGTGCACAACGGTACACTGCCCTTGAGTTGCCCAATGTCCGTGCCATTATGTATTGCGTTCCATCCCCGCCAAAATTGATGGTTTGTATTTGAAGTTCATCACATGAATTTTGCATTCGAGTAATGTTACCATCTTACATTTCATATGCTTCATCAAGGGTTCAACATACGTGTTTTATATTTGTCGTTCAAATTTTACATTCTTGATTGTCGCTGATTCATTCAAAACTCCACGCCACGTATTTGTCCTTCGAGTTTCACATTACAAACTCGACGACTTTTACTAGGGACCTTTAGATCCGACGACGAGAACGAGTACGAGTAAGAGTGTTTAACTTTTAAAGAAAGGCACTATCTTTTTGTAGTGATAGTGTAATTATGAACGTAATGGACATAACTAACAAATTCCAATCCCTTTTCAGGTTGCACAGCTGACATCGAGTTCGGTAATTCTCAGTACTACTCAAACTTGGAGTCCAACCCAACGATGGCAAGTTTATATCAAAAGAACGCCGAGACCCTTGGTATCCAGTTCCCCTCACTTGCAGAACAAAAAGCGAAAGTCCTAGGTTCTACAGACATGGGTAACGTGTCGCACGTCATTCCTTCCATACATCCCATATATAGTATCGATAGTATGGCTGTCAATCATTCGTATGCATTCACTGCAGCAGCGGGTACTGATGTTGCACATGACAAGACGCTGATTGCTGCCAAAGCAATGGCTATGACGGCTGTAGATTTATTCTGTAGTCAAGACCTCAGGGAACAAGCTAAGCAAGAATTTACCAAGGCACACTCCAAGTAAACTACATGAAAATACTGATGACCACATCGTAATGAACTTGTACTTCTAATTCAAAGATTGTAGCTTTTGCATCAAACTTTTGGCGTCAAACCGTTTTTGCTGCCATTTCAGACCACGTGTCATTCCATAGCCAAGAGAGTCATATGATAAAGACATGGCAGCCATGTTGGAGGTATAAACAAATGAAAGTAATTGCTGGATTTCACTTGACGTCATTTCCTGTCTCGTGGGGAATGTTCATCAGATGAATCACAAATTTTCAGTAATCAGTGTTTGACCACCGTTTGGAGCAGATATGAGATTCAAAGACTTTTGTCAGCTGATTGAAACCCAGCAATAGAGGCTTTGCACAAACACGTGATGGCATGACAAGAGGCATAACAATAGTGTTTTCCCCTCGGAAACTGAATTCTTTCTCATATAAATCATACTAGACCGGATTCAACTGTTTTTGCCTCAGTGTTATGGCTGCCATCACGTGATGGTGCAAGGCCTCTATAGAGACGTAATGTTTTCCCATTTCAGACCACATGTCATTCCCTAGAGTATCATTTCTTTGTTTAAGGCTTGCGCTCGGTTGCACATGAGAAGACACATGAATATGGATACAGCTCAAACAAAGAATCTTATTCTCAATGGAATGACACGTGGCCTGAAATGGAAAAACATTAATCCAAGCTGAAGAGGTCTATACCACCAACATGTTGACGATGACGTAACGCGCAAACAAGGAATAGGGATTTAGGGTCTTTATTTTAAGTCACATCCCTATTCTTGTGTCTTCTTAAGTGTTACAGGTAAACAAAGAAGCATTATTCAAGAATGACACGTGGTGTGAAATGAGCAAACTTCAATACCAAGCTAAATGAATCTATTAGCCATTCCAAAGTTGAGGAAAACACTGGGTTGAGATGGCATTGTAATGCATTGTGGGACTCTTTTAGGGACATATTTCCCAAGATGGCGTCAAATTGGTCCCAAAAAACTGTCCCATGATGCACTGCAATGCTAACTCGCCCCAGTCAGCTTTTCCTCAACCTCGGAATGGCTAATAAGATTCATTCCTTAGTTTATGAGATTCATCTTTTTTAAATTTCAAACTTCGAAGATCCATTTAATATTTCAATACGGATGAGAAAAACTCGTAATATGATTGGTCAGTTTTTCAGACACCAGTAAAACGTTCCCGCCTGTGTGCAATTTCAGCACGTTTTCTAAGAGCAAAAGATTTGAATGCTGGTTTTCTCCAACTATTTTAAAACTTGAGCGTGAATATATATTTTTGTGTGATCAACAGATGATATGAAATAACTATTCGTAGAAACTATTTTTGAATTTTGAAATTTTGTACTTAGTCCATTCACGAAATTTAATGAATTTCTAGGTCATCTTGAAATTTCTTAAATCAACATCAATAGAATGAAAATTTTTAAGGGCCAGGGTAAATCAAACGCTTCCGAGGGCCGACTAACCTCTCCCTTAGGCTTCGGCCAAGCCTTCTGATCAGTCTAAATTCCCCCCGGGATAGCGGTGTTGGGGTCGAAATCTCCAGCGTAGCCTTGAATGCTTCGCTCTGCCATACGAAGCTTCAACTCTGGATGTCTGGAAACTATGGATCTAAATATTCTCAATAAACTTAGACCTGTTAAAATCAAATGTTACAAGAAGGTAGAAACCTGTTATTCAAATTTAAAACCAATTAAAGGTAACTCAAGCAAAAATCTTTTTTTCTTCTAAATTTAATGTGAAATATTAACTTAACTTCACGCCATTTTAATAGTACATCATTACAGTCAACTCTCGCCTTGCGGACACCCCGATATTACGGACAGGRAAAAAATCCCCGACAAAAATAATGACGAAAAAATGTCCGTAAATCATTTTCGCTATTGCGGACGTTCGCTATTACGGACATGAAGTGACGGTACCGAGGGTGTCCGATGTAACGGGAGTTGACTGTATTCACCATTTTCCATACATCCGTTCACTGGTCAAACACAAAGCATTCAGTCGAGGTTGCAAGGTTCAAATTTGAATAATCCTTTGAAAGCACCTTGGCGCCTCGCTTGAGCACTTTGTGTTTGACCAGTGAACCAATGGACCTTTATCACATGGTGGCCATGTTTATTCTCATGAGAATAAAAACCTTTGTTTCACCCGTATAAATTTATTCTCAAGGGCTTGAATTTGAGGCTACGCGTGGTGGAATCTATTGTTCAATCCAACATGGCTGCCGCGTGAAAAAGGCCCATGTATGGAAAATGGTGAATATCAGTTCTCACCATTTCTTTACTGACCATAGACAAAGGTTGATGATTGATTCAATCAGTGTTTTCATCACACACACATAATGGAAAAAGGAATTTGAAATGATTTCCAATTCTCTCATATCCAAGGTCTATATCCCGTAAAACATGGTCAACATAAAAATAAAATAAATAATGGGGTTCTTATTAAAGCGCTTTTCAAATATCTCAATGCGCTTTACATTTAT